CCGGTCAAATTGACTGATCCCATTTTGAGATAGGGTAGAGAAAATAACAGATAACCTCTAAAGTTTTACTGGAAAAAAAACGTTTGAAATGCATTTAGGAGGTTTTAGAGATTACACAAAGGAATTTTGAAATTTTTGAGATAAGGAAAAGTATTTTTAATTTTATCATGAAAATTACTTTGCACATGGGCTATTCAAAACAAATACTCAATATATTCATGGACAAATCTTTATTTAATTTTATTAAAAATACTTCACTGAGAAATATGATTTTTTGTATATGATAGACTTATAATATTAATTTAAAGACTGCCAAATGTTGTGAAGATATACACACTGTATGGAGAGTTAGAAGTATTATATCTATAAAGATTTTAAATGAGTACAAAAAGGTCACGTGGTCAGTCAGATTGACCGGGTCTTGTTGAGAGAGTTAATGACTCAAAACTCATTTCTTAAATCAATTGAATCTCTATGAGTACTCTAGATATCATACAAACTCATTATCAGTTTCTGTGTCATTGTTCAACTTATTGATTTAGTATAGTAGCAAAGTAGTCCACCACTGTAATAATGTATTTATGGATTTTTTTGGATCTTTTTCACTGCACTAATAACAGCTACCAAATGTTATATTGTTGTAATTATTCATGCTGTTTCTTCTTCATTCTTTCAAAATTAAATCACAGACTCACTTCCTTTTTCCTGTATATGGGAGACAGTCAATTGAATATAATCCTTTATTTGCTCTCTTCAGAGCATTCTTGAGACTTAAAATTATGAATATAATAAATCATTTTTGATGATAATTGGAACTGTCTTTGTGTCCTCTTGCTTCCAGAATCTTGTCACAGTCCTGTGGAAGAACAATGATACCAACACATGTTCTTGATGTTAACAAAGACATAGAATCAAACTAATTGGTAAATTCCATTAAAAATTTGCAATGAAACCTTCATACTTTCAGAAGGTTTCATTGGACATTTTAAGCTGAGATATTAACCTATCTTAGTCCCTTGACAGTGTGAAGAGGGTCTTTGTGTTTTAGGTTGAATCCAATTCCTAGCATGTTCAGTTTTTGGCATTCTTAGCTTGACTCGTACTTCAGACAATTTGGAACTTCAGCTTGTCTTTCACTAGACTGTTTGATGTCTATCACTGAACATTTGATGTTTCCAGCACTTCTACAGCCATCATGATTATGTTGTCTGACTTTAAATTCTTTCACTTGATACTTGACATGACCAGTTCAGTCATAATTACTGTTTTGTCCCACTTTAATCTGAACTTGTTCTATAACACTGGACATTTGACATTCCCTAAACCCAAACAGTCAACACTGCTGTTTTGTTTCTCTCTAGGTTGACCTTGTTGTTTGTCATTAAGTGCTCTGTACTATCAGTTACTTACTTATTTAGAAATTGCCTGTCATGGCTAACCTGACAATCATTCAGTCTAGATCTGTCTAATTATCTCTCACTCAACTTGCTTTCTCTTGATTTTCTCTCTGTATCTGCACATATTTTTAACATGCAACAGAAAAAGTCTAGAAATATCTAGCCCTCTAGTGATAAGAATATTATACACAAGGAGAAAAATGTAGAAGCTTTGAGTAAGTTGATGTCAACAATATTATGAAAGCCTAGTACAACAGTTAAACTGCACACACAACATACAACTCATACTGAGTTACGTAACAAAACTTTTCACAACTATTGCTTTTAAAATAATTACTTTTAAGATTCTTGTTACGAAAACTAAATAACTCATACACTAAACACTCATGTATATCCAACAGCCTGATTCCCTGACTTGTGCTTGCTGGCTTTTTAAAATAGGGATACATGGTCACCTGTTACACTGTCTCGAGTAAAAGACGTGTCTGGCTGAAAGGTCTGATGGGGGATCCAGGCATTTTCTCCCAGTCTCCCATTGCCACTTACTGTTTCCTAGCTGCTGGGGTGGTAGACCATGGAGAATTCTCACTGATTGGGACCTAACTTCTGGGGCTAAAACAAGGGGTCCCAATTAGTGGGAAGTGGAGCAATGGTGACACTATCAGTGTAGTGCAGGTCATCCCTCATATAACTACTTACAACATGCCACTTGTGCCCTCCTCCAGCAGCATGAGTCTGTATTGTAGAGTTGAGATGAGCACATTGTATGATCCAGTGACCTCCACCTGCAGTCTGCATCTGTTCAGTAGAGTTGAAGCAATCACTTTACAAGACTGTACCCTTCTCATGCAGCTAGCTCATGGGGCTCCAGTAGAGTTGAGGCGAGCACATTACAAGATAGTGCACTCCCCCTGCAGTCATGTTTTCATTAGAGCCAAGATTAGCGCATTGTACACATGTGCCATCCTCCTGCAGCTGATATCTGTTCAGTCGAGTTGAGGCGAGCGCACACTTCATTCCACACTCTTTGACGTGAATTCTGTGCCCTCCTCCTGCAACAGGTATTGGTTCAATAATCTGATGGTAGAGTTGAGGTCAACACAAGGTACAGTCTGAATGCATCTCAACCACAATATGTATATTGGCTGTTTGACCTCTTTTGTTCAAGTACTTAGATGGCCCTGTCCTTATTCTCCCCATCCCTGTGACACATGGGGCTCATTTGCCTCTTCCTCTTCCTAAGCGAAGAGTATACCCTAGAAGAGATCAGATGCAGTTTCCCATGTGTGTGTACTTATGGAGCCTCTGACATCAGGTGTCACAATCCATGGGTTTCATTCAGGCATTTTCTGAAACAAATCTATCTAGGTAAGTTATTGCACTGGCCCCTCCACCACTTAAACATGGGATTCTAACTTAGTTGTGTGTGAAGGTGTGTATCATCTTAAAGGTTAACATTTTCCTTACCTGAAAATGTACTTCCGATGGATACTTCTTCACACACATGCTCACCCTTCCTTCTCACTTCCAGTGCACCTTAGTATTACTTGCCTCATCAAAGAATGAAGATTCACGAGTGCAAAAGCCTAGAGAGATTTGTATGCAAGGAGGTTTGTTGCCCTGCTATTGGTGGAATGCTTTTTCTGCATAATAAGGTCATTATGCAGTAGCACAATTCATGAGAAATTTTGTGAGGTAAGGGGTTAGTTGCCTAAAGACTAGTGGCATGCAAACCCCTGAGGCAGATATACGGAAAAGATAGTTTAATTGTATGAAGAGGTATCTTTTGGAAATGCATTTAAAAAAAGGCCCAAAACTCGAGATCTTATGAATAGATCACTATTCTTCTTCAGGAGAATAAAGAAAATATTCAAAAGTGATCAAGTTTTAGGTATTATTTTTTTTAATTCATTGCACCTTTTGTATGTGATTCTGTGTGCTAACTCTTTCATTGGTATCAGAAATACATTTTCAGGAAAGAAAAAATTAACTTTTTTTCTCTGAATTAGTTCTGTTTCATATACAGGTATATCTGTTATTTAAGAGTGCTCTAATTTGTAATTATTGAAGGATCATTTTAATTTTTTGTAGTTACAGCCTGATATTTATTTATAACATAGCTCTGGTATTACTGTGTTTCTAGTAGGCAATTACTGGAAAGCCTTTTATATTTATTCTTTGTACGTAGGGCTTAGTATTGTATGTAGGAAATTAAAATTTTGTATTTGTCTTTAGATTGTCTACAACTTGCTCTCTGTACGGTACAATTCTAGGATTCGTGTGAAAACTTATGCTGATGAGTTAACACCTATTGACTCCATCACAGAAGTCTTCAAAGGGGCAAACTGGTATGAAAGAGAGGTAAGTCTTAAGCTTTCTGTATTTTAAGTACTTGATGTGTTGTCATTTGTCACTTGTTTAGCAATTTGTAATCCAATGAAAGTGTAAAGCACATGATAAATTATATATTTTTGAGACTGTAAAAATAATAATTTACATTATCCTGTTGACATCCATAAAGTATTTGACACTAGAGTGTATGTACAGTAATGCACACAAAAGAGTTTTCAACAAGTTTAAATAATTATGCAAAACTACAAGAAAAACATGACAGATCATCTAGTCAGAGTCGCTGAAACTATTACAAAGGTTTTTAATCACTGTTGTGCAACAGTGGCTGTCTTTCTGGATGTTGAAAAAGCCTTTGGCTTTGTTTGACATCAGGGTCTCAGATATAAATTAAATTGCTTAAACTTTAGACACAGCTTGGTGAAATAGTTTTTTGTTGTACAAAAAATAAATTAGGTGGCAATGGGAGCTGCCATTCCATACAGTACCCTCTTCCCTCTAGTCAGCAGTACAAAAAATATATATTGGCAGTTAGTGCTGCCTTTACTCTAGTAAGCAGTTCAAAATTATTGGTGACAGTTGTTAATAAGCTCTGCCAATACAAAGACAGAGCAAGCAAGTTTGATGGCAATGGGAGTTGAATAAGACCCTCAAATTACGAGTCTCCCCTGAATAAACAAAGCTGAAAAACTTGAAGTTAAAAAAAAAGAAAACTATATATATAAAGCTATAATTGGGCAGAGCAAAGATAGCCTATTATGTAACTTTGTCCCCTGCAACAAATGAACATATACAAATATTTTGATTACTTGGATAGTCAGAATAATCAAAAATTGTAATAATCAGAAACTAATTTCGATAAACTGGTTGTTTTCATGACAGTTGATTTAATTATAATTTTGATTAATTGATGTAATCACTGCTCGTAGGTAATTGACTTACTGTTGATGAACAGAAGTTCTTAGATAAAAACCAGTATGAAAAGGAAACAATGAGGATGAAGAGAAACTGTATTAGTTTCTGTACCTTCATATTAGGTCATCAAGAAATGAATGTTGCATTTTGGAACACTTTCATCAACCACCTTCCAAAAAAACGTACCTCACATATAATAGTTAAACGAACCACCTAAACGTCACATTAGTGTAGCCTATATAATCCCTTATAGTGATGGCATACAACAAGACACACATTCAGCATGTAATGCTGTTTGAATACAAAAAGAGAAACAATGCCTCTGTAGTCACAAAGAATATCAAAGAAGTTAATGGAAATGTTTTGAACGTTCGTAAGAGTCAACTATGATTCAGCAAATTTCATTCAGGTGACTTTAGCCTTAAAAACTGTGATGCAGGAACCAACATGTTGGAAATGATATTGATGCTCTGAAGACGCTTGTTGAATCCAACCCAAGGCAACACACTCGTGAAATTAATCTGAAATTGCATGTCTCTCATGAAACAATACGTAAACTTCTAAGGAATATGGAAAAATCCTATAAAGAAGGTGTTTGGGTAACTCACGAACTCTCCGTTGATCATCGTTTCCAACGTGTAAACGTTGCTTTGTCTCTTCTGGCGCATAATGCATATGAATTATTTTTGGACACAGTTGTCAGCGGTGATGAAAAATATATTCTCTATGTGAATATTAAATGCCAAAAACAGTGGCTCAGTCCTTGAAAAAAAAACACTTCCAACTCCATCCACAGAAAGTGATGCTTTGTATTTGGTGGGACATCAAAGGAGTAATTCATTTTGACCTCCTCAGTACACAGCAAACTGTCAATGAAGAGATCTATCTGGAACGTTTAAATCAAGCCCTTCATCAGAAATGCCCTTCACTTGTCAATCAGAAAGGTGTTCTTCTCCACGACAATGCACATCCACATGTGGCACGTTTGACGCAGCACAAGATTATGGAGTTGGGTTGGGAAGTTCTCTCCCACCCACCATATTT